ATAGAGCTGACATGCTTCCCACTGCTTTTTCAACTAGGAGCACCATATTGGTTAGAGCTTTGGCTTGCAGGGTTAACAGGAGCTAAATGGGAAGAGTCCCTGTCCCCAGTGACCGGGCTTCCCTTCCATGTTCTGATGACAAGCCAGGCTGGCGGGTCCGTCATCAGCAGTGCCTTAAGTACTGCAGTCCTGCCTGGCTCAGGAACTGGACTATTGAGATCGCCACGGAGCATTGAATCGATTCTGACATTCAGTTGCTAAACATGTCACCTTGGAGTCAATTCAGTACAAGGAAACCTTGCCAACCTCCCACCCCTGGATCCTGCTAATGCTCTTCAGTGACTCCTGGTACAACTATCATTATGAGTACAGCATCAGGCTAGCGCATGATACTCCCAATAATTAAATCAACTGTCTATACTTAATGTCCAGGCTCACCCATCAATAATAGCACTTGGGGAGAGGACCAGTGTTATCCATGAGTTGCTGCCTTCCGGGTAAGGATAAAAAGAAAGAAGTTCTGATTGCAAATAACAACAAAGGAATCCAAATAATGTTTTTATAACTATGAACAAAGTGGATGAAGTGCCGAAGACTAAACAGGCGCTTAAGACTATAAATTGTATATAAAAATAATATGAAGGCTGAGGAAGTGAGAGATGTGTCAAATGAGTAAGAAATTCCGGATCCATTTAAATTGGCTTTAGTGTCTAACAACAAAAACAAGTATTCTACATCATATGTAGATTTAATAAAGTATATATTCTGAAAATCTTAAAGAAATAGGGTTGTATTATCAAACTGTCAAATGTAAATCAAACAGATTTGTACACAGTTGTAGCTGAGTTGATCATACCAACTTACATCTTACTGGGATTTAAAGTACCGCTGGCACAAATTTAAGCGACACAAAGAGGATAACTTGAAGTGTATTAGAATGTTTAAACTAAGAAGCTTAAATTTGGCAGTTAACCTGTGCAAATGATGCGATTTAATACACGGTGGCAACAGATCCTGTTCCAACTAAGATGTATGGCAGTGGTAGTTTATAAGAAAATGGCAATAAATTTGTAAATCGAAATTAGCCATTTACAACACAATACTAAAACATTCAAACGATTAGATTAGTGTCAATGTTTGCTTCTCCAATGCAGACATCTGTGTTAATTTCCATTTCCCTCCTCTTTCCCTATACCCTCTAATACCCTTCCTCCGCATCTGCTTTATCCTTTTTAATGCCCAAATCAACTCTGCTCCAGCATCTACCTCTGGCAAATCATTTCATATTCTCATAACCCTCTGGGAAAAAACAAATCTCTCTTGCTTCTCCTATAACACTCCTAGTTATAATCTATAAAAATATTTTATTAATTAAAATAAATAATATTTGTATTTGGTATCAGGTCCTCCTGTACCAAATATTATTATTATAGCACCAATAATGTTGAGAAAATTTTAAATGCTTCACAAAGTTTCCATTGAGTGCAGTATTTGGAGAAAAAATGGATCATCTATTACAGAAAATAGTTCCTTATTTATCCACTTGGAAACCCTTTCATTACCTTAAACACTTCTATCATATCACCTCTACATCTTCTCAACTTCGACAGGAAAGCCTCTCCATATAGCCAGAACCTCAGACCTCCCGTTTTGGCCTCAATGAATCGCTGCATCCTCTCATGATTTAAATCCCTCACCTCCTTCAAGACTTTCCTTTTTGACGATGCCTTTGGTCGTCCTCCAGCTTCCACTCCTTTGCTCTCCACCCCTCTTGATTTCAACCTCAGCTCAGGTGCAAAGCCTTTCCAGTGCCTTGGGACATCCTTCTGACTAAAGGTGCCATATAAATGCAATTTGTTGTTAAAGTGCTGCAGAAATTTGGAAAATACTTAAATTCTTAATTTAAAACTCAAGTGTTCCAAAATTCTTTTAAAATTAAGAATTTTAAAAAATAATTCCAACGATTCTCAAAATCTTATACTTCATCTTAAAACAATAAATAGTAATAATAATCTTTGCATTTGCTACATCACCTTTCATGTCAGGAGGATGTCGCACTTCACAAGATCCACTGTAAATTTTAATGACTGTATTTTGTATGTGAACAATTGGCGTGCAGCGATGTTCCACAAACAGTCATGAAGTGAATGACCGATTTTATCTGGATGATTGTTAGTCAGGACACTGGGAAAAACTCCCTTCTTATAATGATAATAATCCATAAGGTTATGACCATGAGAAATGTTGTGCCTCTGATTTTTAAAGTGCTAGAAGTCATGCATAATGTAATCAGGTACAGTATTTAACTCAAAACTATGAGAATACAAATATTAACAAACCTCGGTTGAGTTTAGACAATATAATGTTTTCCCTCACAAGGTAAACAATATGTAGAATTGATTCTGATCAGAAGCAGTTAATACTACATTGATTAACTCAGTTGCAAATATCTTCTTAAGACAGGATTGAAGGTTATATAATAAGTGTAGACAGATACAATCAATTACTTCATGGAACACAATGTCTTTTCTGCTTCAGGGAACCACAGAACTATCATCTGTGGAATGCAGCCAGTCAGAGTTAAATTATATATTTTGTACATTAGTTGAATATCTTGGAGTGTTTAATCCCTTACATTTGAAGGTCAATGTGTTTTATTCATTGTTATTTATTGAAATAGCAGTAAAACACTTCATAGAATAAGTTATTTTAAAGTGCAGTGACTGTTATGTAGGTAGACAACTAATAATCCACAGTATTATGCCACAAACAGCAATGAAATTAAAGACAGATTTATCTATTTTTGGCAAATTTGGTTGAAGGAGGAGTAATAACCAATACAGTACACTGGGAAATCTCTCTGCTCCTTTTTAAAATAGTGCTGGAAAATCTTTAACATTCATATGAATTTACAGAAGAACGAGAGATGCGCATTGGTTTAGTGGCTCATTCAAGAATGCCAAGAACTCTACAGAGGACCATGTATTTCAACTTAACAACCAGTGGAATTTGTTTCCATCATTGCTCATGTCAATATTGGCGGTAAAGATGATATTGTTCTTTATATTATGCTGTAGCAAGCATTGACTCCTGAGCATAGCCTTCACAGCCATCCCAGGAGTTGACCGAGCCTCATCACCCCACAATTACTAGTCCAAGGACTCCAACACAGTGAGTTTTGCATGATGCTGATAAACATGCCCTTTTTTTGTTTGCAGATTTAACATGCCAGTAGTGATCAAAGAACAAAAGAAAACAAGGATATTTCCCAATTACTCACAGGGTAAATCCCCTTCTCAGTGAGGTAGTGAGCCACACAGAAATGGAAGATCCTAAATTCAATCCGCAGTTATCTGATTTCAGCTTGGACAGTGGTAGGGAAGCTACAGTTGATTTCAGTGCCCTGGTTAGAGAAGTCAAAAATTAGCCAGAGTTCCTGTTCCTGATCACTATTCAGTCAACCTTTCGGGAAAATGTGCTTCTGTGGACAGTGGGTAAAGATGAGCTTCATCAAATAGACTGTTGTCGCTCACTAATCTTAAGGCTAAGATCATTTAGACGGTTGTGTGTACTGGAATTACTGGATAAGAATTAGAAGTGTGAACTCTGGCCACTTTTCCATTCGCTTGCCAAGAGACATTAAGGCAAATTGTAGTGCCTTCATCAATCATCTTGACTGGAACCAGCTAACTCGGTGAAGGCCAGAAAACTTTTTGCTTTAATTTAGCACAAATGTGCCAATTCAAATTGGAATATTTCAAAACTAGTTTAGATTAATAGTGGCCAGGACATACTTTTGAATTTGTAGTTAAATAAGGACATTTTGAAAATCAAAGAGATGAGAAAACAACGGGCTGAAAGAGTTAAAATGGGAGCAAGAGATATGATGATGATGGTAATAATAATACTTGGAAACTGGGACATTTCCGGTTTCTGGCACAAAACAACTCGGCCTTAATTTGGAAATAATTTTCTTCAGCCAAGAAAAGAACTGGCTTTCAAATTTTAAGAATTTGCCGCAATTCGGCAATATATCAAATTTTAACGCAAAATCGTCTTTTAAGATAGAATTTACAAATGTTTAAGTGCAATTTAAGTGAACCACTGACATGGCTTGTCTCAGCCTATAATAAGTGCCTCTCCAGTCTGCTGTTCATTGAGTTGTCAGTGATTGATCAAGAGACACAGTCTGATTGGGCTGAAGGAAGTTGCATGGAACCAAGAAGCATTGTGAGTAGAAATAAGAACAGAACTGATAAAAAAAAAGTACGATCCCGAAGGTCAGAAAGACAAAGGATAAAGAGCTCCCGTAAGTGAAAGAGAAATCCAATAATTATAATGGAGGAAAGCATTGATTTAGCCCTGAAGTTATATTTTTATCTTTATCAAGATAAGGAATGTCAGTGCTGAGGAATGAATCACCCTCAAGCACTCACAGAAAAAAATGAGATGGTTGAGTTATAGGACAAAGGTCCCTCCAGTCTGACTAACCACATCCCCCTGCCCACGCCCCGCGACCCCCCACCCCCCCACCCACCCACTTGAGAGCAATACTCCTGAAGCACAAGAGCAATATTTCCATTTTAGACATCAGAAACCTTTGCTGCCTCTCCACATGAGACTCTCTCTCTCTCCCTCCCTCCTAAGTGAGTCCCTAGTGCCTTTGGAACGTCCTCCTGACATGACAGGCTTTATGTAAAATTATATTATAAACAGATAAATATTTTTAATGTTAAGAAATACTAAAATCTAATTCAAAGTGTACATTTACAAATGTTAGGCGTGGACAGTATCACGTTTGTTTTTTATGTCATTCCCTAATTATATTGACCTGCTGGCACTTATCTTTGTGAACATTAAGAATAACAACTTGTGACGTATGGCATTGCCCATACTTTGGATTCTAAAAGATATCAAGCAGTGGTGGAGAGAGGGAGAAAGCGATCAGAATGGGTCAGCTTGTTTTGTTCGAAATCCACTAGGCTTACACAGTTAAGAAACAAGAAATTTAATTTTGTTTTGTTTCTGGTACAAATGTAATTTAAATAACAAGACAGGTTTTTTTTACAAAGATAAATTAGAAATTTATATTACATACATTTGCAAGTGAGAAGTGTTTTTGACATTTTTCTGAAAATTGTAGTAATCCTGAAAGTCTCTTATTATGATTCATCAGGCAATCTCAATACCCTCTAAAGCAACATAGAATCCATTTCTACTAAACACCAGTGGTTATTTTCCACTAGCAATAAAATTACCAACCTTGGCGACACATGCTTATAATGAGAATTTCCCAATTTTTTGGAAATACTCTGTTGCAAGTCAAAGGATTTAATGGAATATCTCATTCAAGAAGTGTTACTGAGTATTTCCAAAACAAACATTCTATAGATAATAACGGAATACAAACTGATATTGAGTAACAAAATACCTGGTATACATTCATCATGATTACGAGGGTGACTGTACAAGCACAGATGCACTAACAAGTAACTAAACTCATATACTATTGACAACATTTTCCTAACATTTGTCTTTTCTTTCTATTTTTGCAAATACAATTACAATGAAGCAGTGTTTCACTTGCTCATTTACTGTAACAATTATTGCTAGTTTGCAAAAATTAACAAGCCAAATTTACCTTTGAGGTCAGCCCACAGAATTAAGGAGAATAACGGCATGTACTGCTTGCATCTCATTTGTATTGCTTGCACCTTTTTAAAAAATCTTTATCTAATGCATGAAAATGGCTCTAGATCCCTCAACATGTATATATTTCATCTCCTCATAATCCATACTCTGATCCACCATATTTTATTATATAAATAATGTTACCATTAAGCCCTCAAGTACTGAATTTTCTTACTCACTTTCAAAACGCACAGTCGGTTACTAACGTATACCATCCAATAGATTGATATTCTGTGAACTTTGAATACTGAGTATTGTAAACCAGAGAACATATAGGACTGTATGGATTGCTAGGTTCACAGTATTGTCAAAATAGTATTTTATTTTTTGCAACCAAAGTGCTAACTCATCGTCCTCAAAGGAATAATTCATGTCATGATGTATCTCTGGGCAGACCTTCACAAGAAAACATAATACATATTAATTGATGTGGCCTTCAATGGAAAACAAACTGCAGTCAATCTGCCTTTAAGGCACTGAATGTTTAAAGCACCTAATCCCACACTGATGAGGATTTCCACACATACATCAGGCTGTTTTGCTTAAATTGTTCATAAGCACAAAAGCAGGCAGGCATCTGTGCGCAAATATTGGTAAATTAGGTTGTGTTTTAATTTATGCAAAGATTGGTTATAGTGCACCTTGTGTGTCTAGACTGTTATGATGTTTGTTTGTTTGGAACAACCAAACAATTTGTTGTTTCAAACAAACATTCATCTTTACCTCTCTGCTTCCAGTGTACAATAATTAATGTTGCTGTGTGATAGCTGTTCTGCTCTTCAGCTGAGTATTATTTTAGGCAAATTTATCCACTTGGACATAATATGTTAGATCATCATTGTGGCAGGGTCCAAAGTTTCAAAGAACCATTCTTCCCAATCTTTGGTTTATGTGCTTAGATTTTCTAAGTACAGACAGGAACGCTTAAAAATGTGCAGAACAAAAATATCATATTCCAATAAGTCTTTTGCACTTGGTAGCTGTGCTTATTTTCTTAGGCTAAATGTTATGATAAAACGGGTACACCTGATGGAGATCAACTGAAAACCAGAATGGCATTGCCTGGGGTACATTTTCATTAGATGTTGAACATTTGTCCTTCAAAATAGTATCAAACTGAACTTCTCAAGGGCACTTAGAGGGCCTTAATTTACTCAGAATTTTCTAAAAATTGTCTGTATAACAATAAGATGTGTAGATTGAATTTGTGCTCCTTTGAAATCCAGCCTATTTGAACTCACAAAATGGAGGTCGCTCCTGGTCTTTATCGAATGCTACACAACTGTTTCACTGCCTTTTGCTGGTTTGACCCAGACATCTCCACGCTTATCTCGCTTAGTCCGCCCAGAGCTCACCAGCCTGTTTGAACACTTTTGCCAAGTGTGTAATGTTTTGGCAGACCATATCCACATACCCGAGGTAATGCCCACAAGCAAGGACATAAAGATCTTCAACATCTCCACGGCCATGTTGGAGTCATCTGCTGAATACTTGAACATATTCCAGTTCGAGATCTCGTAAAAATAACAGGCAATGACACAGGTGGCCGGGACCGTGTACAGGACGGAAAAGACCCCAATTTTTACCATCAGTCTTTCCAATTTGTCAGTTTTGGTCCCATCCTTTTGAAGGTTGGATCTGATTTTGAATAAAGCCACAAGGCCAGCGGCAATGAACAAGGTCCCTATGACTAAATATGTAAATAAAGGTGCAACCACAAATCCAGTGACTGCATCGATGTTCTGGTTCCCAACGTAGCACATGCCCGTGAGTTCATCTGCATCCACCAAACGCATAATGAGAATAACGATAGTCTTTACCGCCGGGATGGCCCAGGCTGCAATGTGAAAGTAGGAACTATGCATTTCTATGGCTTCATGTCCCCATTTGAGACCAGCAGCCAAGAACCAGGTGAGGGTCAGAATCACCCACCAGATGGAGCTCGCCATCCCAAAGAAGTACATCAGCAGGAACACGATGGCACATCCAGTATTTTTTAGCCCTTCCTGAATCAGCACAGGTTCGGCTGCATCTTCGAAGTCACACGAGATGCGCTCCCTGCCCACAGTCAACCTGACAATGTAGGCGATGCTGTAAATATTGTAGCACATGCTCAGGAAAATGATGGGGCGCTCGGGGTAGGAGAACCGGGAAGTGTCGATCAGGAAGGTCAGGACTGTGAAGGCTGTGGACATGAAGCACAGGCTGGCCCACACTGCCATCCAGATGTCGGTGAACTCCTTAGCGGATCTGCTGTACAAACCTGCATCGTAACCGCACTTGAGGGCACAAGCCAGACTCCTCTTGACCCAGATGTAGTGGTCAGAGTTGTCGCCCATGCTCTGGCATTCCTCCTCGGGGGGGAGGAAGGTTTTGCTGGTGTGAAAGGGGGTGTCCTCGTCCCCTGGCCCCTCCATACACATGTGCTTGTGGTCGTTCTGTGGTGGGAACTTGCTGCAGTTTAATGCATCTGGCCAAGCGAAGCCGAATTCCTTCAGCACAGGTTCACATCTCCTCTTCACAGACATGCACATGCTGCCACAGGGGCCGATGGGGATGTCGATTTTCTCTGTGCACATCGGGACGTACACCGAACACAAGAAAAACTGCCAGGAGTAAAAAAAAAATCGACACTTTTTAATTATTGTTATTATCCACAGTAGTATCTCTTAAAATCCCTATCAATCTCGGGCCCATTCCCAAGAGCTGCTTAGGATTCTTACAACACACAGTTTACTCCATACACGTGCAATCTAATAAAAATAATAATAATCCTTGCATTTGATATAGCGCTTTTCACGTCGGGGGGACGTGCCAAAGCGCTTCACAGAACACACTGTAAAGTGAATAGACTGTACATTTGTGGGCGAACAAGTGAAGGGAACACGTAGCCACCTCACCATCGGTTAACCCGTGTCCTGCGTGGCGAGATGTCACGGTACTTTATTGACCGAGTGAGTTGGCTGGAAAATATCTGGTTTGGTACACTTTGCCCCAGAATGATAAGTAGGGACTCAGGATCCACACACACACACACACACACACAGTTCATCAAACATACCCACAGACATCCAGTATTGATCAGCACTTCTCACAGCCCCTGTGCAGAGTCCACTTGCCCTGAGTTTGTCAAAACGACCCCCTTTCCCCGGGGAACATAAATGCCCAGTAAACAGGAGGACGCCCGTCCGAAAGGAGAAAGTGGGATCGGCGTGAAACCCATCACTGTGCGTGGAAGTGCACCCATCGTGTCGAGGGATCAGTCAGCATCACACAGCAAGAGAGGGGGTGGGGGTGGGTGGTGGGGGGGGCTTCCGATGGTCAGATAACGAATGCATTCGCTCTGTAAAGACTTTGGTCAATATTTCACTGCGATCTATTCACTCCAATAAAAGCTCAGCAGCTCATTCCCCAAATCCCAGTCTCCCGTGAAGGCAGATCCAACTCACAGTCCCCCCCACCACCACCACTTGCCATTCGCATCCATTCTCGAAACCCCTCACACACACACACACACACACAGACACACACACACACACGAAAGCAAAGAAAAAAGAAAGCAAAGAAAAGAAATCAGGTCCATTGCCTCACAGCGCTCTCTCAGGGGGGTGGGGGGGTGGGGGGGGGTTTGCAAGTGAGAAAACTTTTGAGCGCTCCCGTTGCGGTGCATTACGTTGTTAACGACGAGAGACGCTCAGCCCCGGCGGTGGGTTGAACGCAAAAGGGGGTCGGGGGGTCCCTTTGCAAACGAGCGCACTGTCGGCAATGTGCGACACGGTTCGAAACCCCCCACCACCACACACACACACACTCACTCACACACTCACACACACAAAACCACATCACAACAACCCCCCACCCCCCCCACCCACCCCCCGAACACCACTGACCTGCAGTTGGCCGGAACAGCCATATTGAATCAAAGGCGTAAAAGTTTGCAACTGCAGCTCCGCGTCCGTCTGCAGCTCGTGCCCCACCAGGTTCGGCATTTTGGTCACGTTGTAGCCCAGGTTGTGGCACATGGAGATCTTGATGGGGTCGCACCGCCTCTCGTCCTCGTCCCCGAAGCCCCGCGCCCCCCGCGGCAGCGCGGACAGGCAGCACACCGCGAGCCCCAGAGCCCCGACCCACTGCATCGCTCCGGCAACTCCGACCGCGGACCCGCACACACCGCACACACACACCGCACACACCACACACCGCACACAGCGGCGAGAGGCGACCACCACCACCAACAACAACAACAACCCCCACCCACCCACCACCCAACAAAAAAATGCTGCACCACTCAGCTGTTGAGTGCTTTCCACCCACACACACACACACCCACACACACACCTCCTCACCACTCGGTGTGGATCAAGTTCGCCTCCGGGGGACTGGTGTCTGTGTGTCTGTGTGTGTGTGTGTCTGTGTGAGTGAGAGTGAGAGAGCGCAGTGCTGATCGCCACTCAGTTCACGCAACGCTCGGGGTCTCACTGGACGGCATTTGTGTCCGGGCACCGGGGGTCGGGGTTGGCAGTGGACCCGCCGAGATCCGCCCTGAGAAAGGCTCCTGTGCGCTCACACATCTTCCTCCTCAAACCATCCCCCGGTGAGGGTTCAGCAGATCCCTCCACTGCACTGCACTGCAACCCCCAACGCCCCGTGTACCGAGAGCCCGTGATGGACACACACACGGGATGGGGGGGTGGTGGGGGGGGGGGAGAGCCTCCTCCGCCCCTGTGCCGAGTTGCGCTCCCAAAGCCAACACCAGTGGGAGTTGTTGAGGGAGGTCCTGGTGTTGGCCATCGCATTGGGTTCAGATCCAGCCCTGTGCGGGGAGAGGGACCAATCCGGGTCGGGGGTACCGTTGCTTATCGCTCCGCCTCAGGAGCAGTCGCTTCTCCTCCACTCTGGTGCAAACCTTTTGGGGGAAGAGTTCCTCGCTTCTGGCTGCAGGTTTGCAGCTCTCTCTTTTTGTGTGTGTGTCTTGGATCCGATTTCTGTGGCTCTCACTCACTCTCACGACTCGAGAAGGACACACACACACACACACACACACACACACCGCTCCGTTGAGAAATGCTGGAGATGAAAAGGCAAAAAAAAAAGAGCAAGTTCGAAATTTAAAAAAGTCCATAAAATAATAATAATGATGATGATGATGATGATGATGATGATAAGAGTCCTTGCATTTGCCTTTCATGTCATATTGCACTTCTCAAAGGGCTACGCAGGATTTTATTATACACTGGTGCTTTGTGTATCTTGTCATGTAAATGCTGCAACAAATTAGCACAACAGTGCTGTGCAAACAGCGCTGCACTGTTGTGGTACTCGGTTGCAGCATTTTATTTGTTGGTTGACCAATTTTATTTGGGGAACTTTTGGCCAAGACACCAGGAGGAACTCCCTTCGCCCAGTTCGCTGCCTTCTCCGGGAAGCGTTCGCCTCAAACCTTGCTGGACATTTGAAATAAAAAGAAATCATTCCCAGAGAGTGATGTAACTTTTCCGGTGGACCCAGGTTAAAGTTTTGATACAAATACATGTTCACCTATCTTTCTCTTTATTTCTTTATCAGTATCTACTGATTGAACTGCTGGTGGATTTCCAACATGTTGCTCCTCTTCTCCCAGGAAGGTGTGCGTGTCTGTCACAAAGTAAAAAGGTTAAACATCTTAGCTTGGTTCGGTTCGGTTCAGGTCCTGTCCACTGGATGAGATGTTAAATTGAATTTGCCTATTTATATGGATGTTCAGTTCACTATTAAAAATGGAGGGAGTTTGTCAAAGTGTACTTGCCAACCACCCTCCAGATTAATCATTCACCTCATGTTTTTTTGTGTGGAAACTTGCTGTGTGCAAATTGACCTCGCAAATTCAATTTGTGCAAATTGACCTTTGTCTACAAATATTAGTCATTATCCTTGACATCAATTCCCTCTGAAGCATATTTAGAGGTTTTAAAATCAGATTATACAAAAAAACAAGGATTATTAAATATTTCAGCTGTTTTTATTTCAAAGTTGTCTGTTAGTTAAAATGAATTGCAACCAATGTTTTAAACCAGTTTTATTTTACCTAGATTTAATTGCAATGGTTATGGTGCAAAACAGTTTTCTTCTCTCTGATGTTAGGAAAGTAGGCTGAGTATTGCTTTTCAACACTTGGTTGCCAAGTCCCTGACCAGTCACATTGGCTTTGTTTGTGGAAAACTTCTCAATTTGTATTTGCATTGACATGTGTTCAGCATTATAATACCAAGATTAACAGATCTACCAATCCTAACAATTAGGGATGGACTCATAGCTGACCAAGAAGAAATTACAATAGCTGAGGTTTCACAACACAACATGGAAGATGAAACTAAAATCACCTACAAAATATCATACTATTCGTGGAGTCCTGTAGCTCAGTGGTTAGAGCACTCACTTTGCAAGCGAGAGATCTGAGTACAATTCCCGGCAGGGCGAAACCTTGGGCAAGTTTCCTTACTCCACACGCCTAATAATAATCCCTCCAAAACCAAAACCAATAATAAAAAAAAATTGGTCATTTTCAATCTACGACTGTTTGTGGGATATTGCTGTGCGCAATTGGCTGCCGCGTTCGCCCACAAATATACAGTCAATTCACTTTACAGTGTGTTCTGTGAAGCGCTTTGGGACATCCTCCCGACGTAAAAAGCGCTATATCAAATGCAAGGATTATTATTATTATTATATTATTACTAAGTAAATTGCCCAAAATGCACAGTAACACAAGGAAAAAACATTAAAAAATGAATACGTTTATATGAATCAACACAATACAATTTAATCTTTTTTGTCAATTAAGTTATCTTAAAAATTTATTCCTAGTCAAATATTTTTGATGCAGCAATAGTGCAGTACAGATTTTTCAAAAAAAAGCAGATAAATTAAAGGCTCATGCAAAATAATAAAAAAAAGTTAACAATTGTATGTAAAATAATAGGAATTACTAGAATTCATACAAAGAACTGATCATATTCTGATCCTCAGGTGAGCGGATAGGTAGTGGGGATGGGAGCTAAGCAGCATACACATGGAACCTGAGCTGACGTATTTGGCAATGAAACATTGGAATCAGGTCAGCCTTCTGTGGTGGACTCAGTAATTTGTTTCCATAGCCAGGCAAGACTGCAATACTCCAAGGTTCAGCTGATAGCAGACCAGCTAACCTAGTTCATTGGCAGACTGATAAGTCACTGGGGGCATGGATTCTTTCCACTTGGCTCCTGTTAATTCTGAAAGCCAAAGCCCATCAATTACAATCTGAAATCTAAGCAAAGGTTGGGAGCTTGCTCACAGTTTGCAGATGACATTGCCATTTGGGTCTCAACCATGAGTTCAGATACCATTTCAGATATTTTTGGGTCAGTCGGGTGGCTGACACATGGGGAAACCCATTGCCATGCTTAAGAGTGTCCAAACCAAATGGAGACTTCCATGCATCCCACCCGTACATGGCAATTCCAGAGATAGATTGTTGAAATGGAATGAGCACTTTCTCTCTGGAGGGATGTAGGCTGCTAACCTAATTCCTGAGAGTATGAGGTGCAGGTTGGCAAGAGCCAAAGGTTGGGGACCCCAGTGTGTGTGTGTTGGGGTACTGTTGGAGACGAGCAAGCTAAAACTGCAAAGGTTGCCATTGAGAGCACAGTCTGGCAAGTTTTCCCACCGCTTGCCCAACTAGGACTAGCCTACCTGTTAGGGCTACCCGTTACCTGCTATGGCTTGCAGGATTAAGTGGAGCTGAGTGGAAAGAATCCCTGTTCTCAGTGACTGGTCTGCCCTTCCAGGTCCTGCCAATCAAGCTGGCTGTGTTGTCATCAGTAGTGCCCTGGAATACTGCAGAACCGCCTGGCTCACTGGACTAGTGCGACTACCACAGAAGGTGGGCTTGATTCTGTCATTCTGTTGTAAAACAGGTCACCTTGGAGTCAATTCAGCTTCAAGGAGACTCTGCTTACCTACCTCCCCCCCACCCTGGGGGATAGTCATTAGTTGGTCATTTGACATCCAACAAGCGCAGGTGGATGGTAGATACGAGAAACTCCCTGTGACCTTCCTGATCGGCAATACAGTTCAATGCATGAGAGCATTGCCACCATCTTCCTGTTAGCAGCTTGGGCACATGTCTCTTTCCATAGAGTGATGGTTCCACCAGTTGGAGGTGTGGAGCTTAAGGAGCAGCTGCTTGCCTCTCTGCTGGCCAATCAAGATGGATTCCAGGCGCTGGATGTACAAACGCATGTTCACAAACTTGGACTCCAAGTGACGCCTTCCAGTAGCTGTCATCCCAAGCCTCAGAGTTTCCTCATCAGCTACAAGTGGACACTTGACTTCAGTGTGGTGGGAGGACCTTTACTGAACAGTTTGCGATGTGGTAGCCAACTTGATATTCTCAAGATCCAAGTCCGATGCCATGTACCAAGTTTACTCAGCACCAGCTGCTTAATCCAGGCTCTCATGTGAGGGCCATTAGCAAATAGATGTGTCCCCTGTGAAGCTAACTCTGCCTGTAGGATGCTTAGTGACAGGTCAGAGTAGGTCAGAGCTCTGCCTCCCTGCAACCGCTTCCTGTGTTAATTACAGAAGTGTTTTAATGACCTGGAAGAGTGGGCATGCCAAAGGAGAATCCTAGTGAACCCAAGGAAATCCCAGTGCATGCTCACAGGAGGAACAAACAGAGTGAGGAGGATGTGAGAGTTGAACTGCTTTCAAAACTATCCAGATCACTCAAGAACAGAATTTCCTTGGAAAAACTTTCCATATGAACCTGACTTGGACTAAAAACACTGATGACATGGTCTCCAGGATGTCAGTGCCGACTTCTAATCCTTTGTGGAAGAAAGATTGGGGTGAGCACAAAACTATCCCAACCCTGGAATATAGCCACGAAGCCTGGTGCACACAGTGAGCCAACACAAGTCAAGACTCATCAGCTCATCTCATGTTGGGATTTGAACTCATACAGTCTAGGCTGATACTCCAATGCAATGCTGGGCGGTGTGGTGCATTGTTGGAGGTACTGTGCTTCAGACGAGATGTTAAATTGAGGTTGTTCAGGTGAACATTCAAGATCCCATGGCACTATTTGAAAAGAGAAGAGTTTCTCCAGCTAAGGTCCCGGCCAACAATCCCCCAAATAAAATTGATCACTCACTCTACAACAGGTTGTGGGAC